TTTGAGAAATACCAGAAACATCATCCAGACCCAAATGCCCCAAACCAAGCCACCTAGGTCTGCAGAGACAGGTGGAAATCCAGGTGTTGTTTTCCTGCTCTGATAGCCCAAAAGGCAAGTCAACACCAAGTGTAACCAGGGTGTTTGGTCCTAAGGATACAGCATGGTAGACAGAGAACACATGTGTGTTAGTTCAGACAAACATTGTGTCCCAGACCTCGGCAGAGGCCCTGTGGAATAAGAAGCGTCACTGTGTAGAGGAAGGTAGAGGTCAACGGCGGAGCGTATTTAGGAGAGCATTTAGGAGAGCGGGAGAGCCCATGCCTGATCATGTAACCATTAAGTCCCAAATCCGTAGCCCCTCTGAAGGGCCCCCACCCTGCAGGGATACTGAGTCCTGTGGGGCTTCAAGGTTGGGCAACAATACAATACGGGCAAGTGGTGGTACCGAAGCTGGCGCACACACATCTTTGCAGACCTCCACATCAGCATTTTTAACCTATATCTGGCTAATTCACGGTCTTTGGAGATCCCATCTTTAGGAACGGGGCTAGGTTCTGGGGAAGAATTATGTCCCTGTCCCAAGTCTTACTCGGTCCCATAAGCCCAGTCTTGCCTAGCTCGGAAATACAGGCTGCAGCCATTACTGCAGCTCAGCTCACACCCAGGGAGCTCATCTTCCTCTTTTTTAAAAGAGAAAATTTAACTCCTTCTTCACCATTCCTCTGGCACAGACATACAACTGCAATCACCGCTCCCCCTCACCCCCCACCCCTCCACCTCCCGGTCTCCTCTCCCCACACCCCGGCCCCAGTTCTGAGTCTCCAAAGCTGCTCTCTCCCCTGTCCCCAGGTGGATGGCGCCCCTCCAGCTCATCCTCTCCGGTCCACAGTATCTACTCCTGCAACTTCTGAGCCAAGTGGAGTCTCCCAACTCCCTTTATGGTGCCATGCTTTCTGGACCCCAAAGCTACCGCAGGCCCGGGACAGGTTCCGGGGAGGAGTCTGGGCTGGAGCCAGGACCTCAGCTGACTTCTCTGCCTCTAGGGATACCTTCCCCCGTCCCAAAGGGCCGGGGCTTCCGCGACCAACAGGGGAGGCACAGCCCTCGGGGTGGGGCTGGGCTGGTAGGGCACCCTGGCAACACGCTCCAGCTGCGCGTCCCATGACCCTCCACGCGCGGAGCGGGAAGGTCCGGGCACTTTCGCCCCGTCATGCCCCCTTTGCGCCGGCCTCGGGGGCCTGTCAGCCTGCGGCGGGCTCCCGGTGCCTGGAGACATCTCAGTGCCGCCAGCTCCGGAACGCAAGCTCGGTCCCCCTTGTCCTCGCTACCCCGCCCTCAGCCCTGCCATCCCAGCCCAGGCCGGAGAACGGGTGGCACGCCAGCCGGTCCCCTAAGATCCGTGCTAGGCCCTAAGCGCCCGGAGCCGGCTCCTCCCTGCCCGGAACCCAGCGGTGCCGGGCCACACCAGGAGGCGACTCCAGCTGCCCAGGGCGCGGCGCGGGCGACACATCTGCCTTCATACCGCGATCACGTTGACGAAGGTGGTCTTGCCCGAGTACTGCAGCCCCACCAGCGTGAGCTCCATTTCCTCCTTCCAGAACAGGGCCTTGAACCAGTCCAGCAGCTTGTTGAACAAAGCGATCATGGTCGCTGCCACCGGCCGCGCCCGGTGCCGGGTCCCCGCCGCCCTCGCTGCCCTCGCGCTGCGGCCCGGAGCGGCCCCTCCCCGGTGCGGCCGGGTCCCGCGGCTCGGTGCGGGCGGAGGCTGGAGCGCGGCGGCCGACGACGCGCTGCCCGTGGATCCGCTCGTTGATGGGTGTGGCCACGGCGCCTCCACCTCCCCCGCCACCGCCGCCGCCGCCCTCCCGCGGGCCGGGCCGAGTCCTGCTCGCACCCGAGCGCGCTCCAGTCTTGCGCGCGGCCTGGGCCAGCGCCCGCGGGCGGGGCGGCGGGGACCCGCGGCGGCCGGGAGGAGCGTGACGGTGCGCTTGCGGAGAAAGCTGTAATTTTATTTTTCCTGCTGCCCTCGTTTGCCCCGCCCTGACTGCACCGCTTTCTGGCTTGAAGGGTGGTCGGTCCTGGGAGGGTAATGTCCCAGTTAAACTAGGGTATTTCCAGGCTAAAGAACCGTGGCATGAAGATCTCCAAGAAAGGGAGACGGCGTATGGTTTTGCTCCGTGAACCCTCGCCTCTGAGCATCCCTGGGTACCGAATTCCATCCCCCGAAATGCCATAGAGAGTAATAGCCGGATTTAGAGCCCTTAATACTCCATCTTGTTTTGTTAACCACAGTTTGCCAGGCTACTTGTTTGGGAAGCCCAAAGTGAGACATTTGAACTTGATGCTCGTCTTTACCAGTATTGTCACCATAAAGAAACAGGCAAAATCAGGGCAAGGGATTCCCTGTGAGGAACGTCTGTAGCAAAGGAAAAACCTATGCTATTTTGATACAAAGTTTTTGATAGTGGGTGGTGGAGAGCCTGCCAAGATGTTCCCATCCTCCCTTGCAGGAGATAACAGCTCAGCCAACTGGCTGTACCTTCCTGGTCGCCAGATCCCCGGGCAGCTGGGCTCCTTCTACAATGATCCCACCAGTCAGTCTCTCCTTGGGGGTTGGTTTTCAAGTGTACTCACCTAGAGGCTACGATGAACTGTTAACATCAACTGTATGAATTAAACCTATCCAACGTCTGGATCAGCCTATTGTTCTAAGTTACTAACATGTGTCTAACCTAGGCCCTTTATAAGTTCTTCTCTTGCTCTGAAGGTACATGCTGTAGTCTGAAATTTTTAAAGTTTATCTATATTTCTGTGTCTTTCCTCCAGATTCATAGATTGAAATCCCAATCCTCAAAGTGGTGACGATATAAGGTGACTAGGTTATAAGGGTGGAGGCCTCCTAATTAAGATTAGTAGCCTTATATAAGGAGAAAACAAGAGCGGTGCCCAGAGCCCATACTCCTCCCATCTTGAGGCTACAAAGAGAAAGCTGTAATCTATTAGCCAAAAAGTGATCCCTAACCAGACCCTGAATCTACTAGCACCGTGACTGATAGCTTTCCCGTCTTTCAAGCCACGAGCAACAAATTTCTGTTGTTTATAAGTTGGTGTGTTTATAACATGGTGTGTGGTGCTTTGTTACAACACCTTGAACAAGGTTGGTGCCTCTGTGTCTCACTTCCTACATTAACTATAATTTTATTTTGTATTTTCTCACATGTCCTTAGGAATACTGGGAAAGTGTATATCTCCGGGGTAAAGATCTAGCACCCTGTTCCTGCTCCGGAGAGCCTTACGATATTGCTAGAGAGAGCCCTAGGAAAGAAGAATTAATTGGCCATCCAAGCAGTTATTTATTTATTTATTTATTTATTTATTATGCTTTTCCAGATCCTGTGCCCTCTAGAACAGGGTTGGAGTGACTATATAGGGAGGCCACCCAAAGGGCTGTGCAATTGCCCCTTTGCTCCCTTCCAGACAGGCTCTGATCTCATGGTAGCATCAGGTATTTTAGAAGCATACCTTGGGCAGCGCAGACCTTTTAGGGGACTTAAAAAAGTGGAAGTGCAAGCCACCACCCCAAGACTAAAGGAGCAGCACGCCTACTCAGCTCAGGTAGAGCATTAAGAACGTTAACCTCAGTTGTAGCATCACATTATTTCTGTTTGTTTGTTTAGTTTCTTTTTGTTTGCTTGCTTTTGAGATAGGGGGTCTCACATAGCCAAGGCTAGTCTGGAACTCCTGATTCTCCTGCCTTCGCTCTCCAAGTGCAGATCACAGGCTTTCGATACTGTGCCCAGAAGCACTGCATGTTCTCCAGAGAGATGCCAGGAAGCAAGAGGACAGTCACTCCTCCAACTCCTTGGGGTTTTCACAGTGGACTTGTGTCACTCAGCACATCCAGGAGCTGAGGACCAGACAGTAGGAATAGTATTCTACCTTCCTCCCCACAGGCAGCCCAAATGGGATCAAGGAAGACTCAGGGCTTGTCTGGCTTTCTAAGGTATATGGTTCATCCCTGAGACAGATCGTGGGTTCCCTGGAAATTGTGCTGAAGAGATGAGGGTGAGGGCTGAAGGTCTTAGCCCCATGCTTCTTGGGTGGTGACAGCCCATCCTGCTACTAGAACCAGATAAGCAATCTAGGTGGGCTCTGCAAAGAAATTCAAGCCAGGGGAGGTATACCAGGTAGGTTTTCTTGAACCAGACACAGCTCCTTGTCTCTTCTCTCCTCTTTCTTTGATACTTCATGGATACCCAGAGGATGCTTGGAAGTCACAGAAGCAAAGGAGAGAGTGCTGGGTTTCCCCCAGAGAGTAGTTGGGAGCAGATAATAGGAAGAAAGCCACAGAAGCAGAGGCAGCCCCCATCTCCTCCAGAGGGCTCAAGCTTTGCTTTCTTTTTTTTCTTTCTT